CATTGATCCCCCACATAGACCTACACAGCCTTCATCTCATTAATCCCCCACATATACCTACACATCCTACATCTCAATAATCTTCATATACCTACACAACGAACATCTCATTAACCCCCCACATATACCTACACAGCTTTCATCGTATTAACTCCCAGCATATACCTACACAGCCCACATCTCATGAATCTCTAACAGTTACCTTCACAGTTTGCATTTCATTAAATCGTTTCTAGAGTCATTACTCATTATATTCTCATGTAGAACCAAGTAGTCTTAAGATATCTTGGAACAAGTAAATTGACTATCGCTATTCAAATTATTTGTTCACTTAGCCCGGGAACAGGCTCCCGGTTGGGTTAATGGGTTTAGTGCAAACTAGCAAAGTGTGGTCTAGGGGCGAGGGGGGAGAGCCGAGAGCGGAATGGTGACGGGGGGAGCGCAATTCCCGGAATTCCTTTTTTCGTACTTAACGGCTCGCTTCGCTCGCCGGATGTTTTTTTCCGCCCTCGCTGGGAGCATGTTCGCAGGCTAGTTGACTTGCCTTACGTTCAGCCGTTCGAACGGATACCGTAAGGAACGTTTTTGCGTGAGAGGTCACATCTTTGCCGGTGCATTTTTGTGGCTGAATCGGCAAAGTTCTTCTTTTAACGACGCTGTTAGGCTCGAGAAAGTAAAATTGGCGATGTACTTACTTCTTTTTACGTGACGCGTGATTGGTGAAAAAAAATTCTCCGTGATGCGTGATGTAATGGAAAAATTCAGCGTGATGCGTGATTGGTACTCCACCTTTGCCACCCTCGTACAATATGTTGCTTTGTACTGTTTTATAAATGCGATTCAACAGGGGGTCTTTGTTTACAATGATCATATCCCGATCAATCTCCATGAATATCATTCCTGTATGTTGAAAGGGCATGCACAATTAACTGTCCCAAGCAATTTGAACCCGATGTATTGAACACTTATTGTGCTAAGGGGGGTTTAAAGATTGAGTTTTACAACGAATGCATTTATAAGCTTATTAGCGCGTTTGCCACCCAGAAATTATGCAGTTCTTGGAAGCCAATTTCTCCTCGAATATTACACCCAAAGAGCCAAAAATTCCACCAATTACTAGATTTCTCAACCTCCTACAATGTTTGTAGTCAATTCGTGTCTAGCGTGATGCTTTATCAGCACAAAGTCGTATATATGTTAAGGAGAAAAAATCTAGACAACAACCAACGATTGCTCTATATGGTTGTGTTGAAAAGTGGTAGAAAGAAATTATGATAATTGTTGATCTTGGTAGAAAAATGTGAAAGATAAACCAGTGACACAAGCGGGTCCGGCTTGTAGTAACCAAATTTTATTTTTGACATATTTTTTAGCCAGTAGAAAATTTGCGAAACGCTCTGAGAAATGGTCAGTGAAAGCGTGGATAATGTGAACCGTTTTTTTTTTTTTTATTGCTCCTCTTTCACAGGTCTCTCTCACGGTGGAAGTACGTGGAAAAGCTGGAAACTATCTTAAGCAAACTATATCACTGGATCAATTAGAGAAGGTAGGGCTGATGTGAATTTTTTGTCGTCTAAACCAAGTTTCAAATAATGGCCGTACTTGTTAACCAGGTTTTAAGTTTCATACTTTATATATATCTCTTTAAGATAAGAATTTGTACTTTTCTCTCGTCTGAACGCGGTCTACAGTGACTCCCATTTTATAGTCTATCCACGTTTTAATTATAATACAGATAAGCCTGCGTATTGGTGATTACATATTCTCGTGTAACTTCAATTCGGCCCTAAACCATGCATATATTTACATTATCTCGGATCTGCCAGCTAAATTGTATTGTATATATACGGAAATGAAATCATAGAAGGTTAAGTCGTAACCTAACTTTTGTTTTCCATTCAACAGACGAGAGACTTCAGGCGATGTCCACAGAAAATTGCAGACCCTCCAGTCATCAAGAAACTGATTTTCTACATTATAGCCACTTGTATCCTAGCAACTATCTTTATAGGACTTCTAAGGTAAGTATTTTGTTGTAGAGAAAAACTTACTGCTTAGGTTCGAAGTAATGCTTGCAAGCAGCCTTTGCCAACAGTAGTTAGTTCGTAATCCCGGCGCAAAGGTTTCTTTTGAAACTAATCACCTGTTTCAACGAACTCATTTGGTCCTTAAATTTGCTCCTAAAATTTTACAATGAATATTTATCCTTGGTTTGTAATGCGTGGCGAAAGTCAAAGTGGCTGGTTTACTAGATTTGTTCCATGATCTCCGATGTCGCCGCCCCTGAATTACAGAATGCGATAATAATTCTGTTGGGAGAGGTTGAAAAGGACAGGAACTGGCGTAAAATGTTTTGGCACTTACAAGCGGTACTCTTGCCCTTTGAGGCTTTTTTTAAAGAAAAACCGCCCCGAAGAATAGGTTCGTTGACGCTTCGCGTGTGAAAATCTGATCGAGATGAAAAAATTAGAAAGAAAATCTCTGCGACATACAGGTAAAACACACATGCGCATTTTTCATTTCTTAACTGCCAATTGTTCTTATTTTCAGGTTTATCCTCGTCATCCTCAAAATCATTTTAATCAAGATTGTTTTTCCGCTACTTGGAATATCTCTTCAATCTGCCGCTGCGAGCACTGGCTCCCAACACGCCAAGCACAAAAACAAGGTCATCAAAAGTGAATAACCACAAACTACAGCGTGTTGTGTTCATCTTCAGTAATGTTTACCTGCTCATCGGCCTAGTATGACTGCCGTCCGTCCTATGCGCCGCTGGGTGCGATGGAGGAGGGGTCCTGCGGTTTAATTTAAGACCCGAGAGGGCAACCATCAATTATATTTGTTAGAATGATCAGGCTACAGTTGAAATTCCATTTAAATTGAATATTCTAAAGTTCGCTGTGACTACAACTTTGTATAAAAGTCGAATTATTTTATACTACTCTTTTCAATTTGGGTTGTTCTATTTAAACTTTTTGAAATTTAGCAGTGTTCTTAATAATTGTTTACATTTATGCGAGATCGAGCAAGTCGCACGGAACAAATCGCTTGATTTTTGGATGTAACGGGTCAGGACTTGTAAGCCTGCGCGTGTCCTGATGCCCTGTCCACACTACGCCGGAGAAATTTGAAAACGCAGTTTTATTTCTACGCTGAGGCCTACAGTCCAGACTAATCCGTCACAAAACGGAGCTTTTTGAAAAATGTTCCGAGAAATTTGAAAACACCGGCTTTGCGTTTTAGTGTGCACGGAAAACATTTTAAAAACGGAGGTTTCTGAAAACGATGGCGTCACAATAATACTGTGATTTCCCTGATCGAGTTTTCGTCAAACACAAATCCAAAATGACCGGTGATTGTTGCGCTTTTAAATTTCACCGGCGTAGAGATGACGGAAAATATTTTCTGCGTTTTAGAGTGAAACCTCCGTTTCAAATTTCTCCGGCGTATTGTGGATGGGGACTAAGTTGCTTCATTGGCGACACCACGACCAATCCCTATTTTCGCTGTGATTGATCTTGGGAAGCTTACCCTGGGTGCCAGAGGGTTTTTTTTTTCGTGGCGAACCACGATCGCGGCTTCGCCACGAAAACAAAAAGAAACCTTCGGCACCCAGGGTATGGGAAGCTAAGTTGGAACTCAAGAAAATTAAAAATAAAGTGCGTTTGAAATTTAAATGTTAGCATTATTAAAATCGACTCTGACTGGATTTAATTATTTTCACGGACGGGGAAAAGATTTCTTTCAAGCGTTGAATGTCAGGCTAAGGGAGCAGCTTAGATTAAGCAAAACCAACTCATTTTCTTCCATTAGCGACTATCGGCTCGAGGAGTGTTGTCAGTAAGTTCTTAGCCTGCGAACAGGCTCCCGGCGAGGACGGAAAAAAATTCGGCGAGCGGACGAGCGCGAAACTGAATTCGGAGAGCGACGCGATCGGGGCGGGACAGGGGAGCCTCCTTCGCTTCGTTTGGGCTCGCCGGGAGCCTGTTCGCAGGTTAGTATGTGTCTTTAAATATTAGTTTATCTCAGCCTCAACGTTCTTGGTTCTTACAAAATAAAAAGACTGTACTTGTTTTCCAAGGGACCTTACGGAACCCGTGCTGTTCAACCCAAGGTCTGCTCGTGTTGACAAAAAAAAAATACTCAATCTCTTATCCTCTTACTGACAACACTCCTCGGGCCGATAGTCGCTAATGGAAGAAAATGAGTTTGGGGGAGCAGGGATGGCGCAGTGGTGAGAGCACTCGCCTCCCACCAATGTGGCCCGGGTTCGATTCGATTCCCGGACCCGACGCCATAAGTGGGTTGAGTTTGTGTTGGTTCTCTTCTCTGC